TGGTGGTAAATGAATTTCCCTTCTTTTTTGTATACATGGGTCCAGGAAATTTTCCTCTGGTTCCCCATGGCCGTATCAAGTGCCTCATTGAGACTCAGACATCCTGAGACACTGGCCTCCCCTTGATCTCTCCTTTTAGAGCCATGAGCACGCAACTGCCACTGGGGTTGGCATGACATCTTCAGTGAACCCGTGTTAGTTATTGTCTATCAGGCTCCTACCTCCAACGGCAAGGGCACTTGAACGGCTTGAGGAATTCCAAAATAACAAAAGTAAGCTCGGTGAAGGTTGAACAACAGCCCTTAAATTGGTTGATAGGAACATCACCAAGTTAGCTGGGCTTAAGATACTGAAGCACAAAGGTGATTGTACATCTTTACTCTTCCCTCCAACCTCTCCCTCTCTCAATACACATTGGGTTGGGTCATTCACTATGGGCCCCACCTTTGTGGCTGTATTTTTGCCAAATTACCCAGAGGTCATTTATTTATCTTTTTCCTTCTATTTATTTATTTGTTCCTTTTATTTCCTTCTATTTAGTTTTTGTGTGCGTGCTAAGTTGCTTCAGTCGTGTCTGACTTTTCGTGACCCGGTAGACTGCAGTCTGTCAGGTTCCTCTGTCCATGGGGATTCTCCAGGCAGAAATTCTGGAGTGGGCTCCCATGCCCTCCTCCAGGGGATCTTCCCGACCCAGGGATGAAACTCATGTCTCTGATCTCCTGCACTTAGAGACGGGTTCTTACGCCACTATTTAGTTTAAAAATATTTATTTACTTGACTGCAGCATTCGAGATCTTTAGTTGCTGCATGTGAACTTAGTGTCATGTGGGATCTAGTTCTCTGACCCGGGATTGAACCTGGCCCTCCTGCATTGGGAGAGTGGAGTCTTAGCCACTGGACCACGAGGGAAGTCCAGTTATTTCTGATAAGTATCTTATTTCTCCATCTGTGTCAGAAAAGCAGAGCAGATCCCCTGCCCCTAGTCAGGCCGCCTGTATTTCTCTCTTCATATTTGTTCTCAGACATCCCCATGTCTGCTCCCTAGGCCTGCAGACTCCGCCTCTGTATGTGTGCCCTGTGTGGTAACAATGCGGTTTACCGGCCAAGGTAAAGTATTATGAACACATCAGTTTACTTTGAGAACTGGCAATGAAAGGGGAGAAAGGAGGCATTTATCCTGCCTTTCCCACATGAATCATGCTTCAGGGTAACGGAACAACCTTGATGAGGGACACTTCTTTTTCATTAAAGAATTCCAGTTAATAAGTGAAGGAAAATAATATAATTAAAAAACCAGTATTTCATAACCCCTCATGAAATAACTGATTCAGGCAAAACTCATCTGTGTTATGTAACTGTCAGTTGGAAGGTTGATGGGGAAACCTTACACAGCAGAGTTAATGGCCATCTGAACATATCACGTACCCTCAACTTTACTCAAGAGAGGGACAAGCAAGCAATACTTGCTTCCTGAGGGAGCACAATAGGAAACACACAGCACCTGAGAAGGAATCTTGTCCTATGCTCCTCCTCACCCAGTGGAATCGGAATCTAATTAAACCTTCAGGTTTGGTAAATGGAAACACAAGGGATGGAGGAAAAAGTTAAATGACACTCTGAGGAAGAAATAGACGAATCTAGAGAGTAAAACATTCTACAGGACAAAATGAATCTGCTTCTGTGTAGACGGTATCTAAAAAAATAAAATAAAAGAGAGAGAAAAGAGAGGAGAGGTGAACTACTGTAGATTAAAGAGATTTAAGAGATACCAAATGCAACGAGTAGATTTTCTTGGGATCCTGGTTTGAACAAATCAACTAAAATAAAACATCTGATGAAATTTGAATAACCAACTTGGGCTTTAGAGTATACCACAGTTATTGTGAATGTTTTGGGTGTGCAAAAGCATTCAGTTCAGTCACTCAGTCCTTGCAACACCATGGACTGCAGCACGCCAGGCTTCCCTATCCATCACCAACTCCACAGCTTGGTCAAACTCATGTCCATCGAATTGGTGATGCCATCCAACCATCTCATTCTCTGTCATCCCCCTGCCTTCAGTCTTTCCCAGCATCAGTGTCTTTTCCAATTAGTCAGTTCTTCACATCAGGTGGCCAAAGTATTGGAGTTTCAGCTCCAGCATTAGTCCTTCCAATGAATATTCAGGACTGATTTCCTTTAGGATGGACTGGTTGGATCTCCTTGCAGTCCAAGGGACTCTCAAGAGTGTTTGCCAACACCACAGATCAAAAGCATCAACTTTTGTTGCCAACCTTTGTTGGCAAAATAATGTCTCTGCTTTTTAATATGCTGTCTAGGTTGGTTATAGCTTTTCTTCCAAGGAGCAAGCGACTTTTAATTTCATGACTGCAGTCACCATCTGCAGTGATTTTGGAGCCCAGAAAAATTAAGTCTGTCACTGTTTCCATTGTTTCCCCATCTATTTGCCATGAAGTGATGGGACCCGATGCCATGGTCTTTGTTTGTTTTTTGGTCTTAGTTTTTTTAATGTTGAGTTTTAAGTCAACTTTTTCACTCTCCTCTTTCACTTTCATCAAGAAGCTCTTTAGTTCTTCTTCACGTTCTGCCATAAGGGTGGTATCATCTGCATATCTGAGGTTATTGATACTTCTCCCGGCAATCTTGATTCCACCTTGTGTATGCACTTCATCCAGCCTGGCATTTTGAATGATATACTCTGCATGTAAGTTAAATAAGCACAGTGACAATATACAGTCTTGACATACTCCTTTCCCAATCTGGAACCAGTCTGTTGTTCCATGGCCAGTTCTAACTGTTGCTTCTTGACCTGCATACAGATTTCTCAGGAGGCAGGTAAGGTGGTCTGGTATTCCCATCTCTTAAAGAATTCTCCACAGTTTGTTGTGATCCACATAGTCAAAGGCTTTGGTGTAGTCAATGAAGGAAAAGTAGATGTTTTTCTGGAACTCTCTTGCTTTTTTGATGATCCAACGAATGTTGGCAATTTGATCTCTGGTTCCTCTCTGCCTTTTCTAAATCCAGCTTGAACATCTGGAAGTTCACAGTTCATGTACTGTTGAAACCTGGCTTGGAGAATTTTGAGCACTACTTTGCTAGCGTGAGATGAGTACAACTGTGTGGTAGTTTGAACATTGTTTGTTATTGCCTTTCTTTGGGACTGGAATGAAAACTGACCTTTTCCAGTCCTGTGGCCACTGCAATAGCATTATGATTATGTAATAAAATGTAATAAAATAAAAAAAAGAATGAGATGCATACTTAAGAATGTAGGGGTGAAATGTCATGGGGTCTGGGATTTGTTTTAAAATACTTCAACAAAGGAAATAGACAAAAGGATCAGACGATGCAACGTGGTAACATCTTGATTAACTGCTGAAACTGGATGTTGTGGTACATGAGGTTCACTAAGCTATTTTCTCTAATTTTGTATTTTTGAAAATGTCTATAAAACAAAAAATCAAGTATTACATTGTTGACCACAAACTCTGGATAGAACATAACAAAATTACACCTTGTCTTTACATGCAGTGGGATATATTCTTTTTCCATCAGATAGAATAAATTATCCTAACATTTTCTTATAAATGCAGTTGAAAGTAAAAGATATCTCTAATTGCAAATGAATGTGGCCCTCATCTCTTTATGATAAAGACATAAAGAATGTCTTGAGGGCTTCCCTGGTGGTGAAGTGGATAAGATTCTGCCTGCCAATGCAGAGTACATGAGTCTGATCCCTGATGCAGGAAGATTCCACATGCCGAGGAGCAACCAAGCCGGTGCGCCACAACTACAGAGTCTGAACTCTAGAGCCAGAGAGCCGCAACTACTGAAGCCGGAGTGCTTGGAGCCTGTCCTCAAGAGAAGCCACCACAATGAGAAGCCTGAGCGTCCCTAGGAAGAGTAAGTTCCACTCACTGCAACTAGAGAAAAGCCCACACAGTGACAACCCAGCACAGCCAAAAATAAATAAAGTTAAAAAAAAAAAAGTCCTGAACATTCCTACCATCTTATCCAGGCATTGCATTTTCTCTCCATATGGAGGAAAGCTGTGGCTGTCGCACTCAGCTGCAGGCTCTTTTCACGGCATCTCCTCTAGGACGAAATGCTTTTTTCGCATATAATTGCCACGGTGCTTATTTCTCTGCCAAGCTGGGCTGGGAGAAGCTTCTCACCTGCATTTTACAGGTGCATTGTACAGGAGAAGCTGCTCTCTGCTTCATGAAGGATAGCTTCTCATCCCACCTTAGAATTACAATGCAGCTGGTTTTTAATTATCTTACGAGCTCCTTATGCTCTACACCTGTGAGAGCGAACTTTTTGTGTGATAGGAAAGAATATGAAGTCAAAAGGAGGATTTGACTTGCCAGAGTCACAGATTTTCAGTCAATAAGCACACTAGCTTCCTTCCCCAAGTTCACTCCCCATCCCACACATGTGCACGGGGAAAACAGACACGATGACGTGCAATGACAGAAACTGAGAGACCCTGCAAATATTCATTCTCCTTCATTAAAAATGTTAAGTTATAAACATTTTGATTCATAAATAGTCAAAGTGCATGGTGCACCTCATCCTTTCTTGAAGCCAAATGTCCTGCCTTCCTAGAGCTTTCACCAACCCTCTCCAAAACCAATATTTTACCCCAAAGAGGTAAGTCTTCCCCAGTTCCCTGAGTTCACATTTATTTAATGCTACAGGCCCACCTAGCCCTGCCCAAGAAAAGGACCAATCATTGTCCCGGGAGGGCATAAAGGGCAGGGGGATGCACAATGTGGAAGGGAAGCGCTCCCAGGTGCAGGCAGCTCCTCCTGGGAGGGAGAAGCCAGGTTTTTAGTCTTAAAGGAATGATCTCCCTGTCAAAGATAAGTTGATTTTGCAAAAGGCTAGAGTCGAAAGGAAGGTGGAACTGTCCTCTAGGCTCCTCCAGCAGACACTCTGCAGACCCACTGTCCTGAGGCTCAGTTCGGGGCCCTCTGCCCTCATGGTGGGTGCACAGTTTACAGTGTTCCATAGACACTGACTTTGACCAAAGAGATGCTCTCCATGTACTGGTTCCGGCCTTTCTCATACAGGACGTAGAGTTGCGGGGCCTGGTCCTTCCCACCCACGCTGCCCTCCAGGGTGGTCAGCGATGAGTAGCCACTGGGCCCCGGCCACAGCTGGACCGTCTCCTTCCGCCAGGAGGTACCATTGCTGAAGCTCCAGCGCAGGGTCAGGTTCACTCCTGGGAAGAGCAGCGGAGTCAGGGAGACGAAGGGCTTCCCTCTTGGACAAGGCGGCCTTCTTTCGGTCATAGGGGCTACCCCACCCACCCCACTGCACCTGGCATATACTCACGGAACTCTGGATGGGCTGGGTTGGAGAAGAAGACAATGCCGGAGCTGGTGGCTACAGCCCCTGCAGCTACCACAGGGTCCACGAGCTCCGTGTCAAAGGTCACATCCCGAGGCCTCAGGGTGTCACAGGCATCGTAGCTGCGGAGGATGATGCGGCAATGGCAGTGGTAATTGTTTTGGTTCCGCGCGTTGATGACCACCGAGCCGTCGGGGAGCTCATAGGGCTGAGCGGAGAGAAGAGGGCTTCAGGAAGACCCAGGGCAGGCACAGGGCCCAGGGCAGGGTCAGGGCCCAGTGCCCCGTCCCCGAGGGAGCAAGGCTGGCTGGTACAGAGCTGGGCAGCCAGATGCGGGGTCTATGAGTGAAATGGGCCTCTGGAGGGCTGAGCAGGTCGGGTGAGTGGGGAACAGCTCATGGAATTCTCACCTGGCACTCGTCGGGGTTGAAGTCATTTTCCCGCTTGGGCTTGCCATAGGGGATGCCGCTGACCCCACCTCCATAGCGCCAGGAGACACCGTGGTCATCGCTGAGCAGGCAGAAAACCCCGTCCCGCTCCAGCGTCCCATGGCCACATACGATGAGCCGGCCCTTCCGAGGCTCCCGCTGTTTCTGTGGGGAAAGGATCGGGGTGCTGCAGATGGAGACACTGAGGAGGCTCAGAGGCAGGGAACGGGGACCCCTCACCTCCTAAGTGTGAGGATACACCCAGTCTCCTTCCGTTCTGTCCTTGCTGCGGGTACCACAAGCCTTGCAAACACCCACTGACTGAATTTAGCTTTTTGGCAGAATAAACTCCTTGGGGGCATACAGGGTATACTCTGGACAGGCTGTGCGAAGGACAAGGAGGCCAAGCCACAGGCATCAGATGGGAGCTTAAACCCAACCTGTGTTCACGGACCAAGCTGTGGCCCATGGCACAGGCTTGTGTCTGCCCAAATGAAGGAGAGTTTCTTTCCCTAATCTGCATGGGATTTTCTAATTTTTTTCTAATCTGTACATGGATTCAGTTCAGTTGCTCAGTCATATCCGTGAGTCCGTGGACTGTATCATGCCAGGGTTCATGGATTGTTACATGGTTTGGGGCAGCCCTGTGGACAACCCCCAAATGGAATGCCACTGGCAAAATTCCACCTTCCCTGGGTAGAGTGTTCTTCCCAGGATGTCCCTTTCTTCCACGGAATCCCACCTAAGACAGAAAAATCTGACTTCACAGGATCTTGTCTTTGAGAAGGAGTCCGTTATGGGGCAGACTCTCTACAAGGCAGCTCCTTCCACCCGTCTCAGGGCAGAGACCTGAATGCCAGAGCCTGGTCCTGGGGCAAACATCTCGGTGCCTATATCCAGGGAGAGGTTCCGTGGCGAGCTCCAGGAAACACCATCATCCTTACTCCACACCAGCATGGTAGAGGCCACCTGGCAGCCAGCCTTATGAGCACAGAGGGAGTAGAAAAGGAAGACCACGCCTGTCATCGTGTCGCTAACCACTGCCCCCAAGTTCAGCCCATCTGGGGTCTCCCCATCATCCACAATGAAAGCCGTCGGAGACCATGTACTGCCTAAAGAAAAAAAGGAAGAGACCCAGGGTAAGCACTTTGCAGGTGCCCTTTCCACCACTCCCTGCCATTTTCACCTCCTGGCTAGGGACCCAAGGCCTTATGACCTGAAGGCCTACATGATTGACACCTTCCCTCCTTAGGATCTCTCAACTTCTCAGGGATCCAGCAGCCTTAGGGCCCTAAAGGCAGGTCAAGCTCCCCACCCATCCAACCTCTTGTGACCCAGTCATCTTTATACCCTGGTCCATAGACCTCCGCAGAGCTATGAATTTAGCTCCTTTATCCGATGTCGACATTTTTCTGGCCTCAGCAAAGGCAAGGAGAGTGCCCCGAGGAGTGGTGGTGATGAGCGGGATTCGAAAGGTGTCCACAGAGCCGATCTGCTTCCCACTCACCCACAGCAGTTGCTCCATGGTCACAAGTGGATGAACCTAGGAAGAGGAAGGGTCAACAGAACAAAGGTAACTTTGGGTTTCAGAGTGAATGAAGAGTGTCCTGGAGTCAGATTTCTCTGGGAGAGGCAGGGTGATGGGGATCTGGTATGCGAGCTGGGGTCCCAGAACTAGGAAGGGGAACCCGAGGAGAGTTTAGAGAGAAACTGGTGGCTCAGAGCGAGGAAGAGGCTACGACGGGAGAATGAGCCCTCAGGGACAAAGAGACCTCAAATGGGGAAGAAGCCTGAAAGAGGAGACTCAGAGGGAAAGAGGACAAGGACCCAGAGAGGGAAGGGGAGTAGGAAAGGAGGAAACGGGGTCGGAGGGTTCCTTGGAGGAGAAAGCGATCAGCAGCCCCTGTCCCGGGGGGGACAACCGGCACAGCCAGCCAGCGTGGGTCGGGGACGGAACTATGCGAATGGGGACCCACCAGACTGAAGTCATCCTTTGCTCTGGCCCCGACTCCTGCAGGAGACAACATCAGCAGGAAGGTCGCGGAAAATATCGGCACCCTAAAGATTCCCCACAATCGCAGCATTCGCGGTCTCCTGGGTTTGCCCAAAGGCACTATACCGGGTCCCTCTTCAGTCATCTCTCCCTCGCGGCGGTCACGACCCTGGCCCCCAGGACTCGGACGCGTGTTGGAGTCGATCAACTGACCCCAGCCCTTTAAACGTTCAGATGTCTACCACAAACCCGGCCCACACCCGCCGCCTAGCCGCGCTTCCGCGACTCTAACTGGTCCTCACAGGACTCTGCACGTGACCTTCAGCGCTTCAGAGCCACTTCTTTCAATTGGCCATCTTTGAAGCCCTGGGGCGCGTGACCCGGGCGGGAAGCGTATTGGATGGGGTGAAGAAGGGGGCTGGCATTACTCCACAGAAACCTTTTGATTGGTCAAGACATCTGGGGCACGTCATAGGGGCGGGGCCTACTTTAAAGAGCCGGCGAGGTTAAAAACGCTGCATGTAAATCTTGGTTGAAATTAAAGTCCAGAGAATTTTTGAGAAAACAAAATAGCAATTTTTTAATAAAATCTTTTTACTACAAAAGCGTGATCTGGAAGGCGGGGAGGCTGTACAGGCGGGAGACAGTCCGGGATCAGGGCTGCGTCTCTCACTTCTTCCTCTTCTTGTCTCCCGGGGTCCCCTTGTTCTTCTTGCCCAGAATCTTCAGAAGGCTCTTGGACATGTAGTAGGGCCGGTCCGCTGAGCCATCATTCCGCTCCAAGTCTTCCACTAAGGCGCGACATAGACCTTAAGAATGAACCTTTGGAAACCAACCCCACTACCTGGGAAAATGAGGGACTAAGAGACAGCTGCCTGGTTTCCAGACTGCACCACCACCGGCTGGTTTGGGGGGCAGTTTTTGTAACCTATGTAATCATGTCTTCATCTGTAAAGTGGGGTGAACAATACTATATATCATAGCATGATAAGGGTTAACGGAAAAAATACATGTCAGTTGCTTGACAGAGAGCCTGGTACACAGGAAACTCAATAAACGCATACAGTAGGGTAAGGAAATTCCCACTCACTACAGCCACCTGCTGGGAAGTCTCCTGGGGCTAATTTCATCCCTAGTTTTTCTCCGGGAAGATAGCAGAGGCCTCTGCCCTAGAATGCCCCTTCTTGAGAGAGCCCAGGAGCCTGGGAGCTCATTCCCTCCGTTCTTCCCAAACACCTGCCCTGAGGATGTTAGAAGAGGCTCTGGCTCCTGTAACTCACAAAGTCACTGTTTCTAGAAGCACCACATCTCCTAAAGAGCCTGAATGATCTGGTACTTTTAAGTTGAGGAGAGGAGGTGGGGGGCTGTCTTGTCACTCACAGAAACAGAGGAAGAGAGTGTCCACACACATTCCAAAAACGCTGAAGAAGCCGCTGGCGATGAGGTAGGCCCCTAGGATGGAGACCTGGAAGACACAAGGCTCCCAATAGTGTTCCTTGGGGAGTTGGAAAGTGAAGTGGGGGTGGGAAGGTGTCACTCACCATGATGGGCAGCCAGTAATAGTTGAGTTGAGGATTCTCAAAGTTTTTACCCAGTCCAGGGATGCGACCCGTGAAGAAAAAGAAGGACAGGACCCCTATGGGAGAGATCTGGATGTCACAATCACTCCTCTAGGTCACCTCTTAAACTGTCCAGCACCCGTGTCCTCTGTTCCTGTAACTCCCTGTCCTGGTCCTTACCGACACCTCCAACCACCAGCAGCTTCCCAAAGAACAGTAGCAGGTCTGTGACTTTGTCCAGGACGACCACCCTGTATAAGGTGTTAGAAAGGTTCGGGATAAGAGGCCTGCCTGGGCTGGGATAGAACTGGCTGCATAATTTACTGTGATAGATGCAAAATGAAAGCTGTTCACATTTCAAGATGGAGGTAGCAGAGATTAAACCAAGCTCAAGGCCCTTCTGAGCACAGCACACTTGTGGGTGGGAGATGACGGGGGTGAGGTAGGGAGGTGGTGGTGACAGCCTGACCTGACAATGTTCCGCATGAGCAGCATGAAGGCGTTTTTGGCTGAGACACAGAAATTCTTCCCGTAGATGGCAATCTGGGTGAGGTGGCAATTTCAGAGTTAGCTGTGGTGAGCTCACCTGGGTCAGGGCGGGAGAACAGGGTCAAGAGTGCCCAGAGCAAGGGGTTGCTCATATAGTGCGCTCACCATGATGTATGCATTGCGGTTCAGGAACTTGATGAACTTTTCCAAACACCAGAGGCAGCACTTGAAGCAGCACAGGATACAGCGAGTCAATGGGTTCTGGGCTCCTGGGGGTAAGAAAGGCTCATGTTTGGTCACTGGCCCCTGATAGGTGCCCCTGCCCTATCAGGGATACAGCTGATTAGCCTAGCCTCAGCCAGCCCCCAGCCTCTGCTCACCTCTCAGTTTGTGGTCAATGTATTCCAGGATGACCCGGGCTATCTGCACCAGGGTCAGGATGAGGGCTCCAAAGGCTAGTGACCCTGTGTGGTAACTGCAGGGAATTGGTGGTCAGAGGCAGCCCCAGGACCCCTGGGCCTCCTAGGTTCACAATTCCCCCAGTCCTCTGCCCTGGACTTACCGGAGTGTGCGCAGGAAGGCAGAGCCAAGGGGAAAGGTAGGGATGTCCCGGGGCTTGTGGAAGGCCCAGTAGAAGGAAGCAAAGGCCCCAGCCAGGACACACTGGCCCAGGGCCAGTACCCAGTTGATGGTCCAGAATAGGCCCAGAACTGCATAGATTTGCAAGTTGAAGAGAGAACGCTGTGCCAGGCCCGTGGACCGGTAGCCCTGGAAGACGCACATCAGCCCAGGACAAGAGGAGTCCACTTGCTCCTGTGGAGGAGGGTAGAGGAGTCTTATTCACAACCAGCTCCTGCCCTCCCAGAGTAGAGGGTGGAAACGGACTTCCCAGAGCTGGGGAAGCCCGTTCCTTCCAGGAGATTTATCTCTGGGTTCAGACAGGGTTCGGCTTGACTATCGTGTGAGCATAATTTGTTTCCTTCAGTCTCTAGTTTCTGCAGTAGCACAAGAGCTCCCAGGCTGTGTTGTTGCTGCACTGCTGCTCAGCCGTGTCTGGCTCTGTGACCCCATGGACTGTAGCCCACCAGGCTCCTCTGTCCATGGGGTTTCCCAGGCACGAATACTGGAGTGGATTGCCTTTTCCTGCTCCAGAGAATCTTCCTGACCCAGAGATTGAATGCTTGTCCCTTGTATCTTGTGTGCTGGCAGGCAGGTTCTTTACCACTGCACCACCTGAGAAGCCCTGTTGTTGTGGCCAAGCCTTAATGGTATGGAAGCAGTGTGACCAGTGCCTAGCTCTCCCCTGGACTCCATCAGCTGTCCTCTTCCAGAGCAGCCTCTGCAACTTCAACGAAAACACTTCCTAGCAAAATTGAACAGACTGGGTACCAGATGATACTAAGGAATTGTTCATTTTGCTTGGTGTGATAATGGTGTAATGGTTATGCTTTTTAAAAGTCCCTATCTGTTGAGATCCATCCTGGTATATTTATTGATGAAATGGCACAGTGTTCAGAAGTTACCTCTTAAAGCTCCAGAAAAAAAAAAAAATTGCAGGCGATTGGGGAATGGGTGGGGAGACAGAGAAAAAGAACAGAAAGCTGAAGGTTATGGAATCTGAGTATGTGGATTCTCCATGTTTGTGTGTGTCTGAAAATGTCTCTAATAAAAAGTAAAAAACACAGACTTGTCTCCTAAAGCAAAGGAAATAGACAAATGGGACCTACTAAACTCACAAGCTTTTTACACATTAAAGGAAACTGTTGAAAAATGAAAAAACAACCTACTGAATGGGAGGAAATATTTGCAAATGACATGATCAATAAGGGATTAATATCTAACATATAAAAACAGCTCATACAACTCAACATAAAAAAGAAAAACAAACACACACACCTGATTTAAAAATGGGCAGAACTGAACAGACATTTTTCCAAAGAAGAAATGTGGATGGGCACCAGGCACATGAAAAGATACTCAACATTGCTAATCATCAGGGAACTACAAATCAAAACCACAATGAGATATCACATCATACCTGTCATCAAAAAGAATACAACAGATGTTGGCAAGGATATGGAGAAAAGGAAACCCTTGTACACTGTTGATGAGAATGTAAATTGGTTCAGTCACTGTAGAAAACAGTGTGGGAAGTTTCTCAAAAAGCTAAAAATAGAACTACCATTATGACCCAGGAATTTCACTTCTGGATATACACCACCCCTCAAAAAAAACACAAAAAAACAAAAAAACCCACTAACTGGAAAAGATCCATGCTCTCCCAATGTTCATAACAGCATTACTTTCAATTGCCAAGGTGTGGAAGCAACCTAAGTGTCCATCAACAGATGAATGAACAAAGAAGATGTGGTGTATATCAATATATACAATGAAATACTACTCAGTCATAAACAGGAACCTGTGCAGCAACATGGATGGACTTGGAGGATGTTATGCTAAGTGAAATAAGTCAGACAGAGAAGGACAAATACCGTATGATATCACTTATATGTGGAATCTAAAAAATACAACCAACTAGTGAATATAACAAAAAAAATGCAGACTCATAGAGGACAAACTAGTGGTTACCAGTGGGGAGAGGGGAGCTGGAAGGGGCAATATAACTACTTGGTATAAAATAAGCTGCAAGGATATATTTACAGCATGGGGAATATAGCCAGTGTTTCATAATAACTATAAAATGGGTGTGCCTTTTAAAAATTGTGAATCACTATGCTATACACTTGTAACTTATATAATATTGTATATCAATCATACCTAAACAAACAAACAAACAAACAAACTTTTCTTTCCATGGGACTTCTGTGGCGGTCCAGTGGTTAAGACTCCATCCTTTCACTGCATGGGGCTTGGGTTCTATCCCTTGTCAGGGAACTAAGATCCCATATGGCACGTGATGCAGCAAAAAAAAAAACCCAAAAACTAAAGTTTTTCCATAAAATGTGACAAAAATCTTGATAACTGCTGAAACTGATTGTATGTTTGAAATTTTATAACAAGAGGGAAACTACTTTCCACTTTTTATGTAATTGTGGGTTTGTGTCCGTTACCACCACTAGGTCCTAAGCAAGTTGAAAGCAACAACTACTTCATCTGGGGCTTTGTGTAAGCAGTGCCTGGATCTTCCTTAAGTGGATCCTCCTGAAGTGATCTCCCTCTCCTTTTTCAGTGAGTGGCAAATGTCTATGGGCAGGCTTCCCTGGTGGCTCAGGAGTAAAGAATCTGCTTGCCAATGCAGTAGACACAAGTTCCATCCCTGGGTTGGGAAGGTCCCCCGGAGAAGGAAATGGCAACCCACTCCAGTATTCTTACCTGGGAAATTCCATGGATAGAAGAGCCTGGTGCGCTATAGTCCATGGAGTCTCAAAGAGTGGGACACAACTGAGCAACTAAACAACAATGCCTGTGGGCACAGCCCATGGTCCCAGTTCTGATGCAGTGGCCACATGAAAGCTTTGACAGTAAATACCCAGCAGTCCAGCCCCAACTCCCTGGGAAGCTTACAGAGGAGAGTTTGGGGAAGCAGTTTCTTTCCCAGGCACCCAGGGAACCCACCTGCCTATCGCCTAGAACAGTGTGTTCTGAGGAAGACTAAAAATAACCTAAACAAAACCCACCTACAGATACCAGCTCTTATCAGGTGCCAGCCATTATACTAAGCACTTTCATGTACCCAGGGTCCTTTCATCTTCTCGGCTACCCTGAAGCACAGATATTAAGGTTATCTCCATTTTACAGGTAAGTGAACTGAGACAGAAAGGATGAAGAGGTTAATGTTCCTCTGGGCAGAGAAACGTCCTGAGGAGGGAGGGCGATGTTCTGGGATCTGCCTGCCCCAGGGCCTGGCAGCACAGCACACCTCCTCTTCTAGCACAAGGGGCAGGAGAGGCGCTCAGTGGGAGATCTGGAGTCTGTTAGGGGCCTGCTGTGTGACCCTGGGTGAGCCCCTTGCCCCTGTCTCCTCTGCACAATGAGGGATCGGACCGGTTGGCCTCTAAGGTCCCCTCAGCCCTCTTGATGCCCTCCATGACCCCCCCAGATCCTCACCATGGGGTTGCATGATGTATTCATGGGCACTTTCTCACAGCCGGGCAAACTGCTGTTGGGCGCCCAGAACACATACTGGGGTTGCCCCGATGTGGCCAGGAATCCAGAGGGGAGTCAAAGAAAACGTGGTGACGGGGGGCCCCCACAGATCCCCTCCCCTCCTCAGCCATCCCTTCCCAGGTACTTGAGCAGGTTGTTCACTGCACAGAGAGGCTGAAATTCAGCCTGTGCTTGCTCTTTCAAGGTAGGGCTGTGTCTGCTGGGCAGAAGAGGTGCTTTCTTCTGGTGGCACTAGTATTGCCCTGCCCCCCACACCCAAGGGCTTCAGGAGGGGTGAGCCATGTGGGCAAAGGATACAGAGCAATTATAGCCCAGTAGGCAATGCAGACAAGCAGGAGGGCAAAGGTGACCAGCGGGTAGAACATGGCGGACATTATGTATCCTACAGCTCTGCAAGGGAGATGAAAGCAGTCCATCAATGAGGCTAACCCCTGCATCCCCGCCCCCCATCCTCTCTTGGGGTTGACCCTGGCACAGGCCACACCTCTGCTCTCTCCGGGGCCTGCCCCATACCCCTAAGACTGGGCACACAGTAGGTGTTCACTGGAAGAACTGAATTGAATAAATCGGGCTCAAGAGAACTTTAGAGGAAACTAGAGTCACAGAGAAGCCACCAGGGGGGGCTTTAGGGACAGTAAGGGCCTATTTCCTATTTTAGGCACTTGACAAGACACTAATTAATTTAATCCTTATGACCACCCTACAGTATAGGAACTATTATTACCCCCATTTTACAGATGAGTAAACTGAAGCACAGAAAGGCTAAGCTACATTAAAGTGTTAATCACCATGCTATGCTACCCCCTTTCCTCCACTGCCCTGCTACCTTTCCAGTGCTCCCATTTCGGGCCCACCCCCTTTGCCCTCTGCCCCTTCTCCTTTCCAGGCAGGCCTGACCTGCTGGCCTCCTTCAGGAGGGCGATGGCGATGCAAATCCGCTGCCGCAGGAAGATGAGCATCAGCAGCAGGATGCCTTCGAGCACAGCCAGTATGATCACTGAGGGCAGACAGGGGGTAGAGGGGCCTGCATCAGGGCCAGGGCAGCTTTTGGGCAACCAGTGGTTTATGGTAGGCAGGGCACTCACAGGCGGCTAGCCAGGTCTCCTGAACATTTCTGTAGGCACTGAGGTTGGTGGTGAAGCCCAGCTGGGAGATGGAGTCACCCTTGTCCCGCAGCACGCGGTATTCTTCCCAGCAGTGGTAGATGCCATACGCCAGCACGCCCAGCACCCCTATGATCAGCACGAACACCAGGGGCCCAGCCACCAGCCGTAGGAGCAGGATAAACAGCAGGCTCAGAACCAAAGCCACGCCTAGTGCACTGTGGGCAGGGAAACACAAGTGAGGGTCACCCCACTTTATTTGTATCTTTCCCTGTCCAGAGGCCCACAGATGTCTTTCCTCAAACCCCTAATGTCTCCAAATCAGAACCACCCTATCCCCACCCCTACCCCCAAACACACCCTTTTTCTTATAAATCCTGTTGGACTTGGGATCCATTTGGATCTCTGGCTCCTCCTCCCCTGCCCAAAGCTTCTGTTTCAGATGGTGGTCTAGGGGACAGAAGGGGCACAGTGGGGAGAAAGGAAGGATGAGAGGGCAGGGGAACCTGGTGACTCACACAAGAATCCAATACCAGGACTGCGCAAAGTCTTCAAAGATCTTGACACTGATGTCACGGGCATTGAGGCTGTCGAAAACACCACTGCTGGAGAGAGACAGAGTCAGATGGGGCTGTGAGTGGGAAGGGGTGGGGTAGGACAGAGATGGAGGGGCAAGGGAGTGCCCACCTGATGCTCTGGGAGATGGATGTGTTGGAGATCCCTGGGAGCTCGGGCACCGTACTATTGGTCCATGGGAAACAGCGCCCCAGAGCTGGAGGGAGAGAACCGGGTGGGAGGCCACAGAGCTGACTTCAAAATTTCTGGCCCCTACCCTCCCACCCCCCAAACTGCTGCTAGGACAGAGTAGAGAAGGGCTCTGCACCCTGCAGAGTGCAGTTCTTCACTCCACAGCAGAAAGGGAGTGCCTGCCCCAAGGAGCCCAGTCTGGCTTCTTTCACTGTCTCTTCATGCCCCTTCCTCCATGTCCTGCCACTGCCTAGGTTAGACCCTCCTGCCTCTTGCAGCACCTCCACTCCCACCCCTGCCACCCTTCAATTCAGCCTCTGCTAGAGTGCCTGGGAGACACGGCACAGCCGGGACCTGGCATTCTAGGCTCTAGGTCACTCTGCTAGGCGCCCTACTCTGGAGAGTGCCCACACTCGAAATCCAAGCTGTAAGTCCCCATCGCCTGAGCCCAGCCCCTTTCCCCTCTGTACCTTTGCTCTCCCTCCTCTAGAAATTCCATCCATTATGCCCCATTCAGCTCCATCTTCATCTCCCCTCCTCCAGGAAGCCTTCTCACCCCCGCCCCCACCCCTCTCCTCTGGCACCTATTATATGCTTACAAAGCCATTTATCACCACCCTCACAACAGCTTTGTCATGCGTGCTTTGGCATTTACATTCTAAAGATAAGAAAACAAGGTTGAGAGGCTGAGTCATTTACCTAAGACCACACAGCTGGAAAGTGCTAGAAATTAAACCCAGATCTATCTGATTCTGGAGCACTCATTTGGAGATACTTCCTATTATACACATTGAGAGTTGGATATCTTTTCTCATGCTATAGTTAATAAAAAAATTTTTTTTCCTATACTTTCCATGAGGTTTGCACGATCTTGGCTCCCTGACCAGGGATCCAACCTGTTCCCCCGCTCCAGTGGAAACACAGAGCCCTAACCACTGAACCACCAGGGAATTCCCCTCAATTTTCCTTTTTTTCTTTTTCTGCTAAAAATAGCATTCACTATTGGGAAAAAAGAGCATACGGGGAAAAAAAAAATCAACCATGATCCATCACCACACAGTCCCTTTAACATTTGGGTGAACATCCTTCCAGTCTGTTCCTGTGCCTGCACATAAATGCACATGTGTACATTCACCCAGGTATGTTCTCTTGGGAATCTCATTCGATTGCTTTGTGAACACCTCTGATCTCAGCACCTAGGAAGTGGTTTTTATCTTCACTTCACCTGTCCCTGGAGCCTGGCATGCAGCAGGTGCATAATAAGCACCGGTGATCTGACTCCAGGAAAAAAAGCAAAGACCTGATGTCTGTTCCTATTTTGTTACAGAGTAGCTGTGTGACTTGACTCTCTCTGAGCCTGGTTTCCTCAAAAACCTAGGACTGGATGATGTCTGAGAGAGGAATGTGGCTTCTCACCTGGAGTGGAAGGCAGGAGGAAACTGGGGCAGAGCTCCTGTTGCAGGCTTTGGAGTACTTGCTGGAGGGTGGGGGAAGACAGACAGACAGACAGACACAGAGCAGGATGAAGGAAGGAGTCATCCCCTTTCTACCACCAGGATCATCTGCCGCTCCCCCTCCCATCCTCCCTCATTATGGAGGCTCCCGGTGACAGCAGGGATGTTAGGGGCATCACTCACCATGTTCCCAGGCACCCCTGGCAGACAGAATTTCCTATTTGCTGTGAAGACCTGTTCGACTGTCTGTGAGAACTGGCTCGGTTCCACGGTCCATGGGGCCGCTGGGCAGGAGGATACACACACCTGGGGGCAGAGGGCATGCTGAGGGGCTGGTACCCAGACCCTGGGGGGAGATCGAGGGACAGAGGCAGGCCCCAGACTCTGACCTGGGGTGTGGGGCACGTCAGGCCATTCTGGGCGATCGCGATGATGTTGGTGTTTAGGACGCAGCTGAAGATGTTGAAGTATAGGAGATATGGTTTCTCTCTGTAGGAGAGAAGGAAACATGTGCATCAAGGCTTGGTCAAGCTCAGTGAAAGAGAAGGACTGCCAGGGCTGTCCCTCCAGATGTGGCCAGTGTGACCCAGACATGCACCACCCAGCTCCTGACCGCAGGCAGCTCAGCCCAGCTGGGGAAGTGTGGGAGACACCCGAGTGTTTCCCAGAGGAACTCAGCATTGCCGCTGCTAACAGATGGTTAAGAGCTTGAACTCTGGAGTCAGATCATCACCCAACTTTATGACCCTAACCACTCACCACCTCAGTTTCATCAGATGTAAAATGATAGTACCTACCTCCCAAGGTTGAAATGAGTTTGTGTGTGTAAAGTGCACTGCCTGCCTGGAACATAGTCAAGGCCATATGAATGTTAGTGTATTTTTTTTTTAATATTTATATATTTATTTATTTGGCTGTGCTGGATCTTCTTCGTTGCATTTATACAGGATCTGTGGTTGTGGCTTGTGAACTCTTAGCTATGGCATATGGGATCTGTTTTCCTGACCAGGGATCAAAACTCGGCCCCCTGCATTGAGAGCATGGAGTCTTAGCCACTGGACCACCAGGGAAGTCCCAGTGGCTTCACTATGTGTCAAGCGTCTCCTGTATTCTGGGACTGAGAGTGTTGCTTCTGGAATCATCCTTGTGTTTCAGAAGAGGAACTCCAAGTTCAGAGAGGTTGAGTCTCTTGCCAGAGATCACAGACCAGAACTTACTTAGAGCAGTTAGAGATGAAAATGCCCGTCTCTGAACTCTAAAACCCATGCATTCAACCATGACTCTGCTGCCTCCCAGTTCTGGGCATCTGGGAAGCCCCTGGCCAGCAGTGGGGGCTGTTCTACGTGGTGAGATTCAGGGAAGCTGAGGAGGAGTGGTCCCCTGTCCATCCCCTATTGCACCTCCCTCCTGCCCCCTTTCCTGCCTTCATACTCACTTGTTCTCCCCGATCCCGCAATAGGCCCCCGTGGAGTTCCTGGGATAGAGGACTTGTTTGGGGTCTCCGTACACCCAGGCTGCAGATAGAGACATGCAGATAAATCACCAGGAGGGGGGGCGCAGGGACTTAAGAGGGAACAGCCATGGTAGGGTCCCTCCCTGGGACAGTAATGTCCCCAAGCCACTGGCCCAGCTCTGCCCAGCCAGAAACTCACCCAAGATCCCCACGGCGATGTAACCCAGAATGAAAACGAAGAAGAGCATACAGCAGATGATATCTGTGCAGCTCCTGGGAGAGAAATGGGGGCGATACCTGGAGAGGGGGTGCTGGGGTAGGGGGAGCATGGTCTGGAGGAGTCATGCTTTGGAGAGAGAGTTGGGGGGATGCTAGAAAGTAGGCATGGGTAGGTTTTATTTTATAACTTTTTTTTTTTTTTAAGAAAAACCTTTTCCTGGATGGGTAAACTTTCTTCTGAAGTTTAACACAGGAAAGGGCACAATTCAGAAGTGCTCAGCTGAGTGAATCTTCCCAAAGGACACATGCCTGTGTAGCCAGCTCCCAGGTGAAGACACAGAATGTCACCAGCAGCCCAGAAGGCCCCTTGGGGCCCCTCCACCCATGACAGTCTCCCCAGGGCCACTACTCTCCTGGGGCAGGAGTTTTTCCTCCCACAAGTTTCTTAACAATATTCCAGTAAATAGAAAGCAGAACCAAGACCCTGTCCAGCCCCCTGCCCCCACCAGCACGGTGCCCAGAACTTACCTGTTTCTGATGGGGCCTCGAAAGGAGGGGTCATATTTGGCTGGTTTCCCTGAAGGGCAAGGGGAGGAATGTGGGGAGTAAGACATTGAGAGGCATCTCTTTCCCCCAATTTCTAGTCTCTCCAAATCCCTCCCCACAGCAGGATCTACCCTAAGCCCTGTCCTACCGGCCTTCAGGAATATGGAGGGAGAAAGAGAGGGGCAGGGCTGGCAGGAGGGGAGAGTAGAGAACAGGGAGGGTGGGATCCAGGCTTGCTCAGCAACTTTGCTGCTCTCTGTGAACTCCAACCAGGAGGCCTTGGAGGTAGGAGGGAAGGGCGGCCTTTTATGGGTCATTTACGCTCGCACCTCAAGGCTCTTCACCTCCTTCCCCGACCCTGGCTCCTTTCTTCTAGTCTCTTCTCTGGCTGGGACGTGGGATTCTGTGTTCAGTCATCTCAGTGGCTCTCACATCCCAGTCCTTGTCCCTTCTCCTCTCTGTACCCCCACCCAGGGTGGGCACAGTCCTTCCCACGCCTGCCCCAGCCCTTCCCTCCACTCTCTGGCCCCAGGCTGTGGGGAAAGAAACTGGAGCCAAAGGCATCAATTCCTGTAGGACCTGGAGAGGGAGGAGACCCACCCCCAACGCCCCGAAGGGACCTTAGTCCCCAGCTAATGCCAGTCTCCTCTCCGGGGGAGCAGTCAGGCTGACACCTGAGCCTGCAGTTGAGATTGCTGTGGCCACAGGTCCTGTTCCTGGTCCTCCCTGAGTACACACGGGGAGGAGGTGGGGCCAGGCCGCCAGGGTCCCTTGTGGGCGCCGAGGAGGGAGGACACAGGGAGGGTGAGAATGTGGGAAGGGGTGTGGCCCCTTCTCCCAGGTGCCCTGGACTCTGTCCCTCCGTGGTTCTGGGACATGATGTCAATGATTGACCCAAAACCTCTCCAGGAAGTCTGTGGGGCGTCCCCACTGCTCCCTCCCCTACCTCCCTTCTGACCAAGCCTTGCCTCAGGGAGGTCCCTCCCTTGGGGTTCCCTCCTTTCCGGACCAGGGCAGGCCCCTGAACCCCAAGGACTCTCTGCAGGCAGGCCCCCAACCCTCACTGCACACAGGGATCCCAGAAGCTGGTCCCCGTTTCTCCTCCCTGCAGATTCCCCCACCCCGCCCCCACACTAGTCCCCAGGACCCCTGGGGCAGGCTCCCAGCCTTTGTTCCTCACAGACACTCTGGAGACAGGCCGCCTCCTTCCTCCTCAGGCCTTACCCTTCACAGGAACCCACCAGGCCGCTGCCTCTTTCCTCTGGGCTCCCTCCTAACAGGGATCCTGGAGGCAGGCCCCCAGCCCCCTCTCCACCAACATCTGCAGTCCCAACTCCTCACAGGGGCCCTCAGCAGAACCCACTCCCACTGCCATTCCTCACAGTCCCTGGCAGGCAGACTCCAACATCTTTCCCCTCTCGGAGACTCAAGTCCCGGCTGAAACTCCCCTTCTTCTCAGGGACCCCAGCTGTTCCTCCCATAGCAGCACAGAGCCTGGCTCACTCCGGAGCCCCTGAACTCCTTCCCCTGCTCAGGACCCTGACCCTGATTCCTTCAGGCTTCACTTACAAGGGCCCTGCTCTGAGGGTCCCCGGAATCCAGGCGTGACATTACCCCCTGCTCCCAGGGACTCCAACCTCCCTCCTCATGGAGATCACAGCTTCACTCCTCAAAGGCTCCCAGCAATGGTCCTGTCCCTGAACCCCATCCTCCTCCAAGAACCCTGACGCTATCTCCTTTCTTCCATCAGCTGTTTCCTGGGTCCTCCCCTCGGGGACCACGACTGCCCTCAGCTCCCCTCCTTGGGGTCAACCCAGCCACCATTTCCAGAGCAGGCCTCGCCTCCCTGACCGGGCTCTGGGCCCCTACCCCAGCCTCACCGCCCCCAGCCCTCCGCCTCACCGTAGGCCTCCTCGTCCTGGTCCTGTTTTCCCCCCATGGCTCAGTCTCCCGGAGTGATTGGAGCCCGGGAGACCTGGCGGCTCACCTGCCACCAGCCCCGCCCTCAGGCACACGTCACAGCCCCGCCCCTGCCTGTGGTCCCTGAAACACTGAGTTCCTCCTGGACTCAGCTGAGCGCTGGAAGCTGGAGTGCGGGAAGGAAAGCCTGCGATGTGCCAGGTCAGGGCTCAGGACCATGGCCTGAAGAACTCACTCTCTAAGAAAATCCTTTAGAATTCTGTAAACTACTTCCAACTGTAATACAGCCATGCCCACGCCCTCCTACAGCAAGATTTTAAGTGTGAAGATGAGAACTACCCTAGACTAGACTGCCCCACAGTAATCCCCCCCCAACCTTCCCTTTCCCCTGGAGGGCTATCCACACCGGCCACACCTGCCCAGCCTCCTTCCCATCCCCTTTCTGCCCCTTGGACCCACATTCCCTCGGGCTGTGTATGCTTTTCCGCCAACAGTCACCCAGTTTATTATAAACTCAACATTTATTGAGAACAAAGGAATCAATTAGCACAGAGGCTCAATTTCATCAAACTTCAGCTCAGGGTGGGGAATGGGGGTGGTGTGGGGTGCGCGGGGGGAGGGGTGGCCAGCCCTGAAGTCACCCTCCCAGGAAAGAACCAGCTCTGGGAGACAGGGGCTGTCAGACCTCCAGGGCCTGGCTGGGAGCTGGCTGAGGAATGTGTGAAGGGGTAAGGGAAAGAGGAAACAGTAAAAGCCCCCAGGCGTGGGCTGTGGGCAAGCGGCAGAAGTGGCTGCTGAGCTGGTGGCCGTCCAACTGGATGGAGGCTGTGGTCTGATCTCACGATCTCACGGGTTGACAGGGGGCAGGGAGCTGAGCTCAGGCAGCAGCTCGGGGTGTGGGTCCAGGCGGGCCAGGCGGCTCTGCTCCAGGGCAATGGCTTCAGCCGAGTGCTTGCACTTCTCAGAGCCACACTGGCAGGTGAAGTACTTGCTTTTGATGTCCCAGAAGCGGTCACCATAGTCAAACCTGTCAGAGGAGCACGAGAGATCTGTGGGGCCCAGACCCACTCCAGAGCACCCACTCCCATCTTCAGAGAGGCTCTAAGCCCTCCTAGGTTCAAATGCCCCGGCAGCACCAGCATTGCCTGGGACCTTGTTAGAAGTGAAGGCTCTCATGACCCATCCCAAATCTACTGACTCAAAATCCTTGAGGTTCAGGACTCTGTCTACAGTGACTTCAGAGAGGCTCTGCTCTAATCCTTGCCTGGAAACCAGGCACTTGCCAGCCTTCTGCTTTTGGTCTGGGGCTTGTTGCATCTCCCACACCCCTGGCTGAGCCTCAGGAGGCCTCACCCCAGCTCCTCCCCGGCCCGGATATCTCGGGAACTGAAGAAGGCGATGCGTGGAAATCTCAGGTCTTGGTGCAGCATGAAGACCCGGACGGGGATGATGTTGGGGTCACACAAGTGGTTGATGAAGCGGCTGATGTTGCCGTAGTAACGGGCATCGATGCAGTACACCTCTCCATCCTGAGGGGGGAGCATCACTCATCACATCTACCACCACCCCGCTGGCTGGCCAACCTCCTTGCCCCACCGATCACCCAGTCCCTCCTCCCCAGGTTTCCATCTGCTGCTTGAGAGGAGGAGGGCAAGGGGGTCTCCTGCCCACCTTGTTGTCTAAGTCGAAGAGATAAGAATCGTCCTCTCTCACATCAGCCTCGGCATCAGAGATCAGTTCTCCGACGTACCTGTTGGGCAGGAAGTGGTGGTTCTGGAGGTAAGCAGGGAATTACTGGAAGTAGGCTCCAGGCCCTCTCTCTCCCCATAGCCCGGGATTCCTCTTTCACTGTCTGTCAGCTGCCCCAGTCACTGTCCGTGAATCTCATAGATCCACATGGCTGGGGTGGGTGACCCAAGGATAGCAGACATAATGTGGGAGGGAGGGGGTGGGAGGTCCCCATCCAGAAGGGGGATCAGGAAGAGGAGTCTGGGGACACAGGCATGTGAGGGTACACAGAAAACAAACTCTGGCCAGTTGGGGTCCCCTGGGACAGCTAGATCAACAGGCAGGACCGATAGTGTGGGGCAGGGGTCAGAAGTGTGGGGCCACTGGAGTAGCAGTGGTGGGGTAGCTAAAGGGAAGGTTCAAGCTGCACCAGAGGATGATTTGGGAGAGCATGGAGGTGCCAAGCCTCTGGGGTGAAGGGATGAGTATCTTGGCAGAGGGCCTGGGTGGGGAATCTGTTCAGGCGTGGACGTGGGGAGGACGAGGAATCACCCAGCAAGGTCGGGCTGAGGACAGGAGAGAAGTGAGGACTGCAGGAAGGGATGGAGCCCCAGGAGCTGTGAAGAACTGGGGAGGAAGCACCCACGTTTGGAAAGCAGAGGGAGAGGAGCTGGTGAAGAGGAAGAAAGGATGGGTTGCAGGTAAGGATGGTGTCATGGGAGCCAGAGCTAAAGGGGTGGCGGATGCCAGGAGAGTGCAGACTGAGACACAGGGGTCGGGGTGTGGGGACCGTGAGAGGAAGTATCAGCAGAGGGAGAGGGTAAAGGCAGATCTGGGCAGGGATGAGCAGGGAGTGGATGGGGGGGAAACTGAGACCTAGCAGGAAGAGGCCGCTTGTCTGAGTCAAACTGAGAGATGACATGATGGAGGAAAAATGAATGGTTTCTTAAATAGCCAAATAGGGCTGAATGACTTTTTTTTTTTAAAGCCAAAGAAAATTAAGTTTGAAAGCCATGGGGTAAAAGCTAGGAGACACGGAGAAGTTACAGTTGCTGGGAAGAGAAGCGATGGATGGACAGGCCTGAAGTTCCTGGGGTGGATGGAAGGGTAGCTGTTATCACCTCCATTTTGCAGACAAGAAGGAGGAGGCTTAAAGAGGTTGTGAACTTGGCTGAGGACATCCAGTGGCAGAATAGGGCTCAAACCCTGGTCTGTTAAAACTGGGGCTTTCCCCAGTTGAGAAGGGCAGGGGAGAGGGAGTGTGAGGCTCAGAAAGACACCGATGGGGAGGGAAAGACGCAGGCCCTGTGGCCTGGGCAGAGTGGAGGCTCAGGAATGGGGGTCAGAGGAGGCTGGCCAAGTGGATCCATTAGGGAGGAGGGCAGAGAGGGATGCCTGGGAGTCAGCCGTGGCCCCGCACCCAGCCCTGTGCCCCCAGAAGCCAAAGTACCCCTCCCCCTCAACCACTCACTCGCAAATGAAGGTACCCTGGGGAATGGTCTGCAGGGCACGGACGCCCCAGCCCATCTTCGCTGTCCGGTAGAGCTGCAGTCGCACCCTAGGGGTGGGAGAGAGGATGGTATTGAGGGAGGTGACGTGGAAGCTTCCCAAGGGAGAGAAGGGAGAAAGGGGGGTGAGGAGGGCCGAGGGGCGGGGACTCACTTGATGCCGCTCTGCACTACTCGGTTCTTACAGTTTCTCCAGCAGGAGCATGCCTGGTTACACTCAAAAATCAGCGGGGGCTCGATCTTATTAAATTCCTGGAGTAGCCGCCCATCCTGGGGTCGAGGGAGGGGAGGACAATGGTTTTTATGTGGTGCCCCCCTCAGCTGCCCAAGACTCCCAAGACTTCACCGAGAAATCCACCGCTGACCCCACCCCAGACTCAGGGAGGCCACGTATTCTCTGAGTTCATCCAACAGGAAACCCACAGCCATCGCCCTTTATTTGCATATACCTGGGCCAAGTCTCTGTCATGGCAACGTCCTAGGAGTCTCGGGTCTCGCCCTGCCCTCTCTGCTACTTCCCCCACAGGATAGAAGGCAAGGGACAAGGCCCCAGAGAGCTGGTGTCAGAGGCCAGCTCCTTTGGAGGAGTGGACGGGCGGGTCGCCAGGGCACGTACCTTGTCATACCAACAGCGGATGCTGAGCTGGCCACACAGGCAGTTGGAGCTGGAACAGTCATCTACACACGTGCAGTGCTGGGGCAGGAGGCAGGGTCAGCTCACCCCCCAGAATCGGCCCAGGCCCCTCAGCTTCCCCCCACAAGCCCCCCAACTGCTGTCCTTTCTCTAGGGTCCACACTGTAAGGTAGTGGTGGTGAGGGTCCCAGGATGAGGGGGAATCAAGATGCTGCTGATGGGGGTATCACTAGGGCCACCATGAACCCATGTGATAGGACACAGCTTCACAGGTCCTAGAAAAAGGCTCCCCTCCCCAGGTGGATGCAAGCCCACACCAGAGGTCCCTTTCAGCCCCACCACCTTGGCCAGAGGCCCTTGTTGGCCCACAACATGCCCACCAAGCTCCACTTGGTGGCTCTGGGTGCCCCTTTGGGAGGAGGTCCCAGGGCCCCACTCACCTGCAGGTGGGTGATGTTGCGGTCAATGTTCATGGTGGATGTCTCGCAGTTCTCCGAGATGTACTTGTAGTCCTCGGGGCAGGGCTCCCCGTCCACACCATTGACACAGGGGATGGGGACATTCTCGTAGCCCCGAGCCACGTCCCTGGCAGGAGGGGAGATGGAGCTGGGTGGCTAGGGCAAGGGGTGAGGGCTTCCCTAGGAGCCAGGAGAGGGTTGGGGGAGGGGAGAGGGTGTTCTGGGGGTTCATCGGGTGCGGGGAATAAGGTTTCCAAATCAAAGGCAGGACACTTAGTTAAAAATCTGAATTTCAGATCAGATAATCAGGAAATAATTTTTTTAGTACATGGCTTCCCTGGTGACTCAGACAGTAAAGAATCCGCCTGCAATGTGGGAGACCTGGGTTCAAACCCTGGACTGGCAAGATCCCTTGGAGGAGGGCATGGCAACCCAGTCCAGTATTCCTGCCTGGAGAATCCCATAGGCAGAGGAACCTGGCAGGCTACAGTCCACGAGGTCACCGAGTTGGACAGGACTGAGCGACTAACACTTTCACTTTCATGTCCCAAATATACTGCTCAGAACACTCTTAAACATTTTAAGTATGCGTTGCTCACCTGAAATTCTAATTTAGCCAGATGTCTATTTTTATTTGCTGTATCTGGCAACTCTAGCTATATGTGTTGCAAGGGGGAACAGAGGTGGTTCTGGGGACTTCGAGGCTCCAAGGGGCTTGGGGAGGGGGCTCTGGGTGCGGAGAGAGCCCAGGCTCACCGGCAGATGATCTTCTCTGTGCGGATGGCCCGATTCCCCACCCCGAGCCGGAGCTTGCGGTTGAGCTGGAGGGCAAACCACACGTCGGAGCGCTCGGGGGTCAGGTCCCACGCCGTGTCCCCCTCCTTGTTCCGCAGCTCAGGGTTCGCCCCGCGTGACAAGAACAACCTGGGAGGGGACAGGGAGCCCGTGGGGCGCCTGGCCGTGAGAGGTGGCAGAGAGGTATGCAGGAGTGTGTGTGCAGGGGTGGGGGGCTCACAGCACGCAGTCGTGGTAGCTCTCCCGGGCTGCAATGTGCAGTGGCGTGTCCCCATGGTAGTTGACAGCATGGAGGTCGCAGCGGGCGTTCAGGAGGACCTCGGCGATGGCGGCACTGCCGGTGAAGGAGGCCCAGTGCAGGCAGATGTTCTCCTCCTGTGGAGGTGGAAGGGGGCGAAGCTTGAACCCAGCCGGCACCGAAGCACAGGGTAGGACTGAGCCCGCCTGCGGCACCCCCACCAAACCCTCACTCACGTTGTCGGTGAGAGTGACATCCGCGCCCCGTGTCAGAAGCATGCGGATCACTTCTATGTGCTTGTGCTCTGCAGCCCAGATGATGGGGGTCCACCCGCCGCTGTCCTGGGGGCGGGGAGGGAAGGGGGAGGGTGGAGACTCAGCTCCCGCCCTGCTCACACAGAGTCCCGGCTCTACCATTCACAGGCAGTGGGGTCTGGGGGCAGGTCATTTGAGGTCTCTGGGTCTCAATTTCTTCATTTATAAACTGGGACTAATAGTGTCTATGGCTCAAGACTGCAAAGTAATTTTTCTCTTTCTAAAATATATTTCCTAGATCTACCCACTCACAAGAGAAGCAGGGATCCCAATAGCAATAACCACCCCCAGGTACACAGATCGTTGTAGTCTCCAAAAAAATATTTCCCACTTAAAGGAACCAGAGTTTCCTAGAAAGTGGCAGAGTCTGAGTCTGGCGCAGGATAGCTGCTGACAAGGATGCTCTCAAAGACTACTGGATCAGTTCAAAGCCACAGGAGCCTGTGGCAAGGGGTTTCTTCTGGACAAAGGATGGAACGGCTCAAAGATCAAGGAGAACACAGACTAAAACACCTCCAACAGGTGAAAAACTGAGTTAATACTGGCCAGTTCCAGAGATTAAAACGGCAACTCATTTTGAAAACTGGTACAGAAACACAGAAAGAAACTGAAAAGAATAAAGAGAAATACAAGTGAAGCAGGGAAAAGAGACAGGAACAGACTGGAACAGTGTGACAGGCAAGGAAAGGATCAGAGGTCAGACGAGGGAGAAAGGGGACCAGGCTGCTGACCTGGGCGTTGACGTCCACCTGTCCCGTGCTCAGCAGCAGGCTGACCATCTCCAGGTTCCCAATTTTGGCTGCGTGGTGGAGGCAGGTGGATCCGTCTTCCTCCTGGGGAAGATGCGGGCAGAAGAGCCCTCAGGCTGGCACCTCAGGCCTGGCCCCTGAGCCCGGCCCGGGCCTGTCCGGCCACGCACCTTGCTGTAGACGCAGCCCCCACGCTGCACCATGTAGCGAGCCACGTCCAGGTGGTTGTTCACCACGGCCTCCATCAGTGGCGTCCGCTGCTGCTTGTCCACGGCATTGATGTTGGCTCCAGCCTGCACAGAGGGGCTGTTGGCACCAGGAAGGGGCTGGGTGGGGGTGGGGTGGGGTGCTAGTGGTCCCAGGTGGGGCCCACGCTGACCTGCAGCAGCACATGGCAGATCTCCACAGAGCCCTTCTGGGCAGCCGCGTGCAGGGGTGTGCGCTTGCTCTGCTGGTCACTCTGGAAGTTGGGGTCCAGGTTGTCCACTGTGGGGAGAGCCCACCATACCGGGAGAGGGAGGGACACGCGGTGAGCAAGCTAGGGGGTGGGTGGCATCTCCTCCAGGAAGGCTTCTCAGGACCCCAAGCCAGGTCAGTGGTGCCTCCTGGGCCTCCCCTGTGCTCATGTCCACCGTGGCACAGTCTTGTGAGAGCAAGACGTTAAGAGCACCAGCTCTGCCCAAGTTCAAATGGCCCCAGCCCCTCAGTACCCTGTGCACTGGGCAAGCCAGTTCACCACTCTGAGTCTCCGCTGGGAAGATACAAGTGAGCGAAGGTGCGGAAGCTCTCAGAACAGGGCCCAGTGCCTCTGCGCTCATTGCCTCCACAGTCCCTATCATCACGGGCGACCTGTGTGTGTGTGTCCCCTACCAGCCTAAGTCCTTCGGGGCAAAGACCGTGTCCCACACGGCTGCCCTCCTGGCCCCGAGCCCAGGGATGGGCACATAAGCGGAGCTCAGGTAGGGTCTGCTGAACGAACAAGGGGGATACTCACACAGCATCAGGATCACCTTCTGCAGCTCCCCTTGCTTTACGGACAGGTACAACTGCCGGGGGTGGAACCGGAGCTTCTTCCGCCTGCCAGGGTGAGGGCCCCTCAGATTCAAGTATCAGTCCCACGAGCCACAGATCCACACTCCCAGCCCCAGTCTAGCAGCTGTGCCTGCGTGTGCATCCCCTACTCACCTCTCCGACTCCTGGATGACCAGGGCCTTCTCCAGGGCCTCCCGGCCTGGCCCTGGTGGCAGCCCTACAGCTGAGAGGCAGCCCCCATTGGGCAGGGTTAGGGAGGGCCCTGAGCTGTCGATGGTGTCGGCCAGAGGGTCGCAGGGTGGACGCCGAGGCTCCCCCTGCCCGCGCATCCGGGCACTGTGGGAGAAGGTGCAGATGTCTAGGGCAGATGAGGACGGCGCAGGGAAGAGACAGAAGGCAAGGGCGAAGCCAGTACCTGGGCTGGGAAGTGTCCGCTCTCCCGGGGGCATCCTGGGCCAGGGGTGGGGGGGCGGGGGCTGCAGTGCCAGCCGGTGGGGTCACCCCATCCCCCCGGGGGATGGTCACCTCCTGGGCCTCAGATGCATCCTCCCCACAGTGAGGACAGAAGACCATCCCATTCAGCTGGGACACACAGGCCTTGTGGAAGCGGTGGGCCACACGGAAGTCGGGGTGACACTCCAGGAAGGTGCCCTAGGGGCGGGGAAACAACATGGTCAGGCTCCGGAAGCCCCTGCCCCTGTGGGGGCATGCCGCCTGGCTGCCCTGCTGGTCACTCACCGCCGTGCAAAAGTAGCCACAGCCGGGGCAGCAGTGATGTTTGACCATGCGCGCGCGGTGGGTCTCACAGAGCACCATCAGGGCCACGCGGCTGGATGGTCTCATGGTCTCCCGCTTGAGGATGGCAGCATTGCAGCCGGACAGCTGTGGGCAGTGACGCCAGGTGACAAGAGGTGAGGCTGGGCTCTGGGGCCGGTTGCCCTGGCATCTCGCCTGCCACCCCCCGGGCCCACCTCTCCATCCACGCTCTCCGTGGCCATGCACTTGTGACCCGCTCTCTCGCTGATGCGGTCTATCTTGGGGGCCTCCATGCGGCAGCTGCAGAGGGGCAGCTCCTCAAACCCGCGCTCTGTCTCCAGCGAAGATGTGTCATTGGATACCCCTTGGACAGAGGGAACAGGGAGCTGAGGGAGGCCCAGCCTCTCACCCTCCAGGACCCCTCATGGGGCCTCTCACCCCCACCCTGACTTTCCCTCCATGCTCCAGAACCCCTAAAGTCTGGTCATGGACACCCCAGCTCCAGCGGGGTCCCCCTCCTCCCCATTCCCTCCGGCCCTGAGGGCACCCCTAGTGGCTCCCTATCCCGGCAATCGGCAATTGGCAATTACCAGCGTGGTTGGGAGAGAGGGTCCCCTCGCTGGGCAGCTCCAGGGACCCCAGAGGGACCTCCATGTACTCACTGGGGCCTGAGGAGCCCACACCATTCACTCCTGACACAGAGACAGAGAGAGTGAGAGTGCGAGCTCACAGGTGCCTGGACGCGGGGCTGCATGCGGAGCGTGGGTGTGCATGCGCACTCTCTGGGGGCCAGGAGGGGGCTGGAGGAGGGGACCCCAAAGCAGAGGAGCCTCCTTACCTCGTGGCTCTTTGGCCCTCGGAGGCTCTCGTTTCCGCCGTTTCCGTGATGGCTTCACCCACGGGCTGTCCTTCCGCCATTTCTTCTTGGCTTTGCGGCGGCCGCTGGAACCACTCTGGGGAGGAGGAGGAGCATTAGGGAGTCGGGTGGCCAACAGCCCGTAACCCTCCTCCTTGGAGGACTCAGACCTCCGGTCCTGCAGTCTCCACTCCTCCGGGGCCGCCAGCCTCCAATCCTACCCTGTCAGACTGATTGCCGGACTCTTCATCTTCCTCTTCTTCTTCTTCCTCCTCCTCCTCTTCTTCTTCTTCCTCCTCTTCCTCTTCCTCTTCTTCCTCTTCCTCACTCAGTTGTTCAGCCAGAGCTTCGACCTCAGACTGGAAGAGAGGTAAAGCTGTGCCCCCCCCAGGCCACAGCTTGCTCTTGGGGAGAACTTGGGAGAGAGGCAGGGTAGGACACATCCAACCCCTGGGACTCAGAGAAGGAGGTGTGATCAAGAAAACCATAATTCCCCAAGGATGGTTCCCTGGTGAAGATGACTGTGGACAGGAGAGGAAGGAAAGGCTGGGTACAAAGAGGGGGTATGGCATGTTATACAGCAATGAAAAATAAGGTGCTATGGTGACATGCAAAAATGTGATGATCTTGGCAACATAATAGTAAGCAGGAAATAAAAAAAAAGAAGTTCCAGATAACAAATGTATAGTATGAGACTCTATGAAGTTCATAAACAGGCGAGACTGAAAACACTACATGAAAAGCTAATCAGAAATGCTATAATGAAATCAGGGTGATACCATCTCAATTCACTGATCTTAACTTCACTAATAAAAGGCCAAATGTCCAACACCTGATGATACAACAGGAAGCACCTGCTATCAAGTCTTACCAAACTAAAAAGAAAAATAACAGGCCTCTGAGGCTGATCACACTTCTAGATCCATGAGTTTACAAGAAGAAACACTGGACAGAGAATTACATGTCACTTCCCACCCAATCAGCCAACTCCTAAGTGTGAAGAATTCTGCAGGACAATTGACTTGGTTCCTTTAACAAATGAATGGCAAAAAAAAAAGCTTATTTTTTTAGAAGGTAGGGAAGCTATATACCAAGAGAGACCTAAGACAAATAGTCAGATCAATGTGTGGACATCATTTGAAACTTGACAAATGAAAACCCATTTATGAAACAACTGAGAAAGTGCGAAGACTGACTGGTAGCAAGGCGATGGGATTAAAGAATCATTTGTAGGGACTTCCCTGAAGGTCCAGTGGTTAGGTCTCCATGCTTCCCCTTTAGGAAGCATGCTTTCTATCCCTGGTTGGGAAACTAAGATACCTGTAAGCCACATGGTTCGGCCAAAAAAAAAAAATCATCTGTAAATCTTTTGAAAATAGAGGTCTTATGTTTACAGAGACTTATGGAAATGTTTCTAGATAAAATGAAATGGTGCCTGGCATTTGCTTCGAACCAATCCAGTAGGTATAGGTATTAAAGGAGGAAGAGATGAGTCAAGGTCTGCTGTGTATTGATAATCCTTTGAGCTGGGTGATGGCTACCTGGGGGCTCACTATTCTATTTTTTATGTGTACCTGAAAGATTCCATGATAAAACAAACAAAAACTAAAAGAGGCAAGACTAAGCATTATGTTGCATGGGCAAACACACATGTGAAACAAACCAAACATACATGTGAAACAAACCAAACAAGAAGCAAAGGAATAAACAAGCAAACAACAAATAAACCATAAAATGAGATGTTAAACCCTAAGTCCAGGGTGGTGATTATCACTGTGGAGAGGGACAAGGGGATGGTATGGGGTGGAGCACACAGTGGAAATAAGTTATAGATAGTATGGGGCAGTGAACTAGTGGGTGTTCAGAAAAGGAAAGAGAGGAAAAAGTGGGGCAGCAAAGACTGGAGAATGAGCCCTGGATGCGGGGGGAGCATGGCTGGGAGAGTGGCCGGCTCCCTCTAACCTTGCTGTCAGAGTCCACCCGCTCATCCACAGAATAGGAATCATAGTAGAGGCTGAAGTCATCCCCCACCACCGTTTCCCACTCCTCCAGGGACCCGGGGTCCCCCTTCTCCAGGGTCACTTCTCCCGAAGTCCGCGTAGAAGCCAACTCCTCTGACTAGAAAAAGATTGCAGAAAAATTGATGCTGCTGGCATCACCAACTCACCAACCCATTTCCCGTGAGGGTAAGATGGAACCCCAGCTCTGGGGCTGCCTCAGAGCAGCCGTCAGGGGGAGAGGCCCTGTTCCCAGCCCCTCCTGGCTCACCAAGCCACCTCCTGAGTTCAGCTTCCTCCTTTTGGCCACATCTGGAAGGAGAGACAGAGACAGAAAGGAGTGAGGCTGGCACTCTAAGCCCTTAGCACAGGCCATAGCAAGCCACAGGTAGGTGGGGGATGGGACTGACCTGAGGTCACCTTCCCCAGCGAGTGCACGTCATCACTCATGCGGAAATGCTGCACTTCAGGGGGCCGCTTCTCAGGGACTGGGGGCTGGGGGCCGAGAGGGAGCACACTTGGGTCAGGGAGCATCTAAGGTTCTGTCTGGATGAGCTGAGAGCCCCAGGTTGGGGTGGGATGGTGAGCCACACCCTCAGAAATGCCATCCAAAGTTCTCTGGCAATAAGAACCACGTCAAGCCATATTCCCCTTCTAACACACAACCATTCATACACACAGAAGCAGGCCCCTTGCCCCCTCCTTTCCACATGGAAAAACACAAATTAAGGCCTTGATCAAAGCTACCCAAAGCAAACTCAGAACAACATGATATCAAGAGCCCTAAAAACACTGTCATAAAACTTCTGAGATTCTGGGGCTCTTGTTACTTCCCTTTTGTCTCCTTCTCTGTAGAGATTCACAGTAAAACCTTTAAAACAGCAGGAACAGTTTCAAAGAAGGGAGGGAGAAGTTCCCTTGGGGCTTGCTTTGAGGTAGAAAGGAAAGGTGGTTTGAAGTCCCTATAGTTATTATCATAAGAGTAATTAAGACATGACGACATAATTAACTTTTCAACATTTGTATCTTCTACTCTCCTCTCCCTAAAAGCATAAACCTCAGCAAGATAGGCATCTGGTATGTTCCTAGATTAAGCCCCAGTAAAGAATCTGACATATAGTAGCCCCTTGGTAAATATGTGAAGCAGTATTGGATAAGAAAAGGCCTGAAACTAAATTGTAAAAAAGCAGCCCAAGGGGTTTATGGTTAATTACCCTGTCTCTCCCACTCCCACAGCCATCCCCCTAAGCCTCACCTGTCCATTTCCTGGTTTGGACATGGTTTTCCTGGCTCGATGAACCTTGGGCTGCCCCTCTGGGCTGGCTATGGCTGGAGGGGGTTCAGGCCCTGCTGCTGGGGCCCCCTGGGCGCCCGGCATACTCAGCAGCCTCATAGCCAAACTCTGAACTGATGGGGGTGATTTTCCGGCCCCTGTCATTGACATCTTGGCTCGGCTGGGACAGGCACCCCCCTTGCTGGGGGAAGACGGGAACGACTTTGTGGCATGGCCTGGAAAACACAGGCAGGCAGGCAGGAGACAAGATAAGAGGGAAGGCAGAGTCAGAAGTTGCCCCACCTCACCCCTCCCCAGACTCCCCCGGCCTCTCACCCAGCAGGATACGACCCCCATGGAGGTCCCCATCTCCCTCGAGATTCTCGGGTTCATCCCCAATGAGTGGTGTGGCCCCTACAGGGGTGTCAGCCCCCTCATCGCCGACAGTGACCGTGACAGAGGCTGGGGATGAGGGGCCAGCAGTCTCCAGGGAGTCGGGGTTGGCCTTGGGCAGGGTCTCCTCACTACGAGGGGTGTCCCCCAAAGAGCCATGAACTGTAATGGAAGAGAAGAAGTCCAGGGCTAAGGGCTCAGGAGATCATGTGTTGTGGGGGAGGCGAAGGTCCAACAGGGCCCGTTTCTACTGCACTCACCTCTCTCGGTGGCTCCTCTGGGCTCCTTCTCCAGCACCAGCGCCCCCATCTCAGCGGGGGCCTCCCCCTGGGAGGGGACACAAGGGATAGGAGGGCTGGTCAGTCCGGTAGGAAGTTGGGGGGCCCAGGACGCCTGGGCCCTGGGTAGAGAGAGCAGGCTCCGGGGCCTACCTCTTCCTCTATGGCCCCCCCCCCCTTCCGCGGCCTCGGCTGCCCGGAGGGGCCGCACGACCCCTCCCCCGGGCCCGCATCAGCCCCCTCCCTCTAGGCAGACCCCGCATCTCAGGGGCCGAGAAGAGAGGAGGGGGAGGGGGCGGGGCCTCTGCGCCCCGGCCCCGCCCCCTCCTCCCGGCTGCACGCGCCGCTCCCCCTTTGTCCCCCAGGCCGCGGGGACCCCGGGCACCAACCCCTCCAGCGCCCGCTGCCCCCCAGCCCGGTGGACGGCCCCTCGTGCCCCTCGCGCGTGTTCCTGGGGCCCCGGCGCCCGCTGCCCACTCGGGGGCAGCCGGCGGCTGCACGCGCGCCTCCGTGCCCACTCCCCCCACCTCCCACCCCCTGGTCCCCTCATCCGCCCCCGGTGCTGGCCCTCCGGATTGCTGCAAGTCTCGCTCGGGCCCCCCGGCCCCGTTGCACCCCCGGAGCATTGCACGGGCGCGCGCTTCCCCCGGGCGCGCGCGCGGGCATGCACCCGCCTCTCCCCCTCCCCTTCCGCACCTCGGCGGCCGCCGCCGCTGCAGCTCCCGCCGCCGCCGCCATCGCCGCTTGCGCGGGGGGCCGAGCCGGCGCGCGGCCGCCCCGGGTCACGTGGGTTGGGAGGGAGGGCTGAGAGGAGCCTTAAAGGAGCCACTACGCGCTTTCTGGCCATTTTCCCCCCAAGAGCGGCCTCGGAGATGGCAGTTCCTGTCCTAAACTGGGAGCGGCAGGGGAGAATTGCTGCCATTCCTGGCCTCACTCAGATGGGAACCGAAGGCGAGGCACGCCTGGGTCTCCAGGTGTGGCTTCTCCATCTCCCACCTGGCTTTAGGTAATTAGCGGAGCGTCTGAGCCTTCCGGCTCTCGGCAGTCTCTATATCCAATCCTACCCGCGTGTGCTTCTCCCGCTTCTGGTTGCTTTCTAGTTTTCTGGGTCACTGGATTGAAGCCTGGGCCTCTTGGCCTCGCTTCTCTAACGAGCAAGAAGGGGGCGATGGGGACGCGCGGAGGACACCTTTAGTCTTAGCTGGTCCTAGCATGCGGCTTCAGTGTACCCTGGAGCAGCGACCCCTTTTGAAAACCTGGGACTGAATGTGTTACCCGTTTATGCCAGACATGTTAAGCCACCACGTGCACTAGGGATCCAGGTAAGCCCCTAGAGGCCCGAGACATTACTATCTGCAGACACTCTAGTAAGTAACCTTTTTTTTTTTTGCCAAACACTTCACAAGCATACTAGGCACTCCGTGGGTCATAGCCCAGCCAGTAGTGGAAGTACGAATGGTATTACACCGAGACACAGAACTTTGATAGCAATATTCAGGGTACCATCTCTTTAGGTCTTACATCTGGCCAAAGTTTGGAAAATAGCTGTAACTTGCAATATTCTACACAGGCAAGTGGTTAGGATATAGGGCACCTGAGGCCAATTCAAGGCCTTCTGGGAGCTGTAGTTCTCTGGTTAAGAACCGTTTCAGAGCTTTCTGGGAATTGTAGTCTTCTCCATACCAGAATCCAAACAGCGGTTTTTAGCTTTCTCCAGGACATGAGCCCTTTCCCCAGACCAAATGCCCAAACACAGGCTTCTGCTTACAATTTTAATGGGCACAGTGATCACAACTATAGCTCATCCCTAGCCGTCATACCCAACTCCTCAACTGGAGCAGGTTATCTGTTAAACACCTCTGCCAAAAAAATCACTGAACACTTGTGCTGTGAGCTGACAGAAATTGAGGATGCAGAACTGGGAGGGTCTCTGGCTAGAGGAGCCCACCTGTCACATTTCCCTTCCCCTGTCAAGGCTCCTTTAGGCATGGGACCTGCATGAGTTGTGACCTCTGAGTACTTAGCAAATGACATCAGAGGGTGGGATGGTCTTAAGGTGGGAGAGTCATTTACACGCAGTTGCCAGACAGAGTATAAAGAAAAAAAAGTTTGTTTTTTTTTTATTTTGTGGAAAACAAAAGCCGAAAAACTAAAACCCCAAACTCCAGAAAAAATCCTAAAAAATACGTTTTGTTTTCTTAAAAAATACTGTATAAGTCTCTACTACTCTCCCTCCCCCAACAGCCCTTCTGTGTACTCTCATCTAAGTGCCCTACCCCCCACCCCCACCACTATTTGTAGTTCTTGCTGTTGTACCCCACTTCCCAGTATCTACCCAGGCTGCTCACCCCCATATTCTCTTACCTGCCATCTTATTTTGTTCTGCCTAGAATTTTGGTGAGTCTTGTACCCATCCCATTTCCCCAGCATGCAAGAACTGTCTCCCCTTCCCTTCTCCAGAATTCAGTCATCCTTTCCCCCTACCACTCCCTCTCCCAAGGATCTATTCCAAGCAGGAGCAGGTAAGCTACCTCCTGCCAGATTCCCTCCCACTTCCCACCCGCGCCGCACCCCCCCCCCCTTCAAGAAATGTCAGAACCTCTTCCTGGGCAGCCTTAGCCAGGAATAAAACATTTTCCAGTCTTTCCCCCCACCACCACCTCATTCCGTAAGCCCTTTTCCCTCCCTCCACATATCCATGCACCTCCAAGAGAAGAAACTCTTTCTCTGGGACCCCCATTCCCTTGGCCTTCTCAAAGAACTCTCCCTCTCTCCATCCTTTCCTTCTGAAGAGGCAGGGTCTTCTCTCCAAGGAATCTTCGGCCCCTTGCTGTGTGTCTGCTCAGGCTCCCACTGTACCTGCCTGCCCCCCGACCCCCCACCCCCCTATTCTCCTGGACCAGGGAGCCCCTCCCCACCTCGCCCAGGGCCCCGGCGCCCGCCTCGCTAGCGGATGAGGACATTGATCTCGGCCACACTAGCCTCCAGCACGTTCTCTGCTGTGGTCTTGCCGTGCTGCTCCTTGAGGTGCCGCCTAATGGCCGGCTTGTGAGCGAAGCGCACGTCGCAGTAGGAGCAGCGATAGGGCCTCGCTCCCGAGTGGAGGTTGAGGTGATCGTGCAGCGTGGACTTCTGCGTGAAGCACTTGCCGCAGATGCCACACGAGTGCGACTTGACGCCGCGGTGCACGTTCATGTGGCGGTTGAGGTTGCTGCTGTGGTTGAACTGCTTGCCGCAGCGCGGGCACATGAAGATGAAGTGCTGCGCCCGCATGTGGAAGACCAGCTTCTCCACGCCCTGGAACACTTCCGGGCACTTGGTGCACTTGATGTTCTTTAGGGGATTTCCGCTGGAAAAGCCTCCGGGCAGGGGTCCCCGGCCGCCCCCTGCCCCCAGGCTGCCCCCCGCCCCCCGGGCAGCCATGGCCACCGCTGCTGCCTCCACAAGGCCTGAGGTGGCCCCCACACTGGCCCGGCCTCCAGGGATCAAGAGCAGGCCCTCCCCTTCCGCGTCCTCAGACAGGCTGTAGCAGGCTTTCACCACACCCTGCGGTGGGGCGACAGTGCTGGGAGGCACGCTGCTCTGGGCCAGCTCCCCAAGGTGGCTGCCCACAGAGCCTCCAATGCCCAGACCTCCTCCCAGGCCCCCGGGAGGCTTGAGCCTATGTGCCACCTCCAGGGCTGATTCCACCTTGACGATGCAGATGTCAGACACGTCCTCGTCCTCGTCCTCATCCTCTTCCTCGGCCTTCAGCTCCAGGTCCTCATCCAGCGGGAACTCTAGCTTCACAGGCCTCAGGAGTGGAGGGGGGAGAGGGGGCGGGGGCGGGGGTTTGGGGGCTGGCTTTGGGGTCCTGGCAGGAGGGAGCAGGGATTTGGTGGCACTGACACTGCTCACAAGGCTGGCATCGCTGACCCCATCCTCTTTGAGGCCTATTTTGGGCTCGATAAACTGGCTGAGGGCGTTCCGGCATTTCTCCACCACGTGCTCCATCTGCAGGTAGGACGCAGCCGTCAGGTAATTAACGATATCCCTGACGGCGAATTCCAGGGCGCCCGTATAGCAAGAGAGGAGCAGGTCAGCCACTATGCGTGCACTGTGCATCAGTGAGACCTGCAGCTCAGAGCTGGGATTCAGCAGGAACTGGTCCCGCAGGAACGGCGAGCAGGCGGCCAGGATGACCTTGTGGCCACGGAACTTGAGGCTGTCGGCCACAATGGTCACGTCGCAGAACCGCTCCTCTGCGCGAAGCTGGTTCATGTTCCGCAGGGTAGCAGCCTCGTGGCCAGGCAGCTGGAAGCGCAGGACTTCCACCCCAGAGGCCATTGTGGCGGGGGGTGGGCAACCCTGGTTGGGAAGGAAACGGGTCAGAGACAAAGGTCTCTGGCTTTGCTAAGCCAAGGCCCCAGGCCTTGCGCTCCCATTCTTGGCAGGGCCCCCCAGCATCAGATCACCCAGTCTTCAAGCCTCTTCCTCAGTTTCCCCAGCCCCCGGGGAGGCGCTGTCCCTTCGGGAGAAGGGAGGCGTGGTTCCCGGGGGCGGGGCAGCGGCGTCCACACCCCCAGCCCTACCGCCCGCGATGATGGGGCGAGCCCGCGCCCACAGGGGAAGGTCGGCAGAAGAGGGAGCAGAGGCCTGGGGTTCTGGGGTGACCCGGGTTGCAGCCTCTTCTCACCCCGCCCCTTTTACCCGCTGCCCCATTCCTCCGCCGCCCCCTTGCACGTTTGCACGCGCCTTTCACGTCCTCCCCCCTGCCTGCACGCACCGTGCACGCCCCCCCCCACGTTCAGAACTCCGTGGCACGCCCCCGCCCCCCCCGCCCCACGACCCTGAGTGCACGCGCCGCTCACCTGGCTGGGTTCCGCGCGCTGTTTTTTTCCCCCCCTTATTTCCCCCACCCCCCCCCGGGGCCGACTGTGCCCCCACACACGGGCAGGGCCTGGGCAGCGCGCAGGCGCGGGGGTGCACGGGGCGCGCGCGCGGGGCCGGCTCCGCGTGGGCGTAAGGGGGGAGGGGCGGGGGCGGCTCGTGCAGTGTGTTCCAGGCCCCGCGCGCGGCGGCGTCGTCGAGAACTCGGGGAGGAGGAAGAGGGGAGGGAATTAAAGGAGCAGGATTCCCCCTTTCCCGACCCCCCTTTCTTCACCAGCTCCCCCCACACGGTTAAAGGGCCGGACGGCCTGGCCTCTCCTTTGACCGGTATTATTTGTCCGCCAGAGCGGAAATACGTTCCGCACCCCCCCTCTTTCTGGCTCCCCCTCCTCTGTGCCTCCGGGCCCCGTGGCCCGTCTGCGCGTGCGTGCCAAATGCCGCGCGGAGGCCCGCTCGCTGGGAACCGCCCTCCCCATTCCCTGCGGCCGGCCGCGCAGCTTGCTCCTCGCCCCCCAACGCGCGCTCTCCGCCCTCTGCTCTCCCAGCCTGCCTGGCTCCCCGCAGGCGGCGCTGCCACCTGCTCACGCGTGCGGTACTTCTCTGACCCAGCTGCGCGAAGCGGAGCCAGAGTTGCAGCCACTGCCCCTCCTGGCGTCCCAGACCGCCCCGTGGCTACCGAGATGTTGGTGGTTGTTGGTTGCCTATGCCTTCATCCCCTGTTGATTCTGTTCATACTTCCTCCAGCCACGCTTTCAGATTTTTGCAACTGTTCTGAAGCTGGTACACACCTCAGCACTCCCGGCCTAAAAGATATTTTAACTTTCTACAAGGCCAGACAATCCTCCACTTTCTCTCCTCTGTCTCAAAATCTTAGCAAATCACAACTATCCTTTCCTTCCCTCCATTCTCAGAATCGATTCTAACTTCTTGCCACGGCAAACGCCCGCGTAAGGTCGATGACCTTGCGCATTTCACCCCCTACAATATAATAGACCTAGTACTAATTCTTCTAATTATGTGAAGATATGTGTTAGTAGGACAAGCGTCCATCCTACCCCTGCTCCTACATACTAACAAGGTCAGAACTCCATCTCCCTGAACAAAGGCCTCCCTCAGTTCTGCCCTGTTGCCTTCTCTTTCTCTGTTCCTCCCAGACTGCCGTCTCTGCGCTTCAACACCGGCGTTTTTGAGCGTCTTGAAGACTGGTTCCCTTCCCGCCTTCTTCCTTGCACCTCTCATATACCTGTACTCATTTCTGCACCCAACCAAGTCCAGGTGAAGAAGCCTCTTTTGCTTGCCGCCTGGATTTGTTTATTACATTCTCCAGTAGACTAGAGCATTATCCTTACACATCAGTTTTGGTGGACTGTTTAATATCTGTGTTCAGAAAAAAAAAAAATAATAATATCTGTGTTCAGTCTAATGGTTTCTCCATTAGATTGCCAACTTCTTGATTGCATGAATCGTGTCCTGGGTTATGTTTTGCAATAAAAGTCATACAATAAATGACTGACTGTTGAAGTCATTCCTCTTCAGTTCAGCCGGCATCCACCCATAAAAAGTTTGTTCCTGACTTAAACTGGATCCTGAACTTAAGGGATGCTCTTTTAGTTGGGAAGTGAGGGAAGTGTTCAGATAGTGCCTCTACTCTTTGCCTTTCTCTTTTAAATTCTCTTTTTTGCCTTCACCCTACTGATGCTTAGTCGCTTCAGTCATGTCTGACTGTGCGGCGCTATGGACTGCAGCCTGCCAGTCTCCTCTGTCCATGGGATTCCCTAGGCAAAAATACTGGAGTGGGTTGCCATACCCTCCTCCAGCAGATCTTCCCCACCCAGGGATAGAACCCAGGTCTCCTGCATTTCAGGCAGTCTTTACCCCTGAGCCGCCTTGAGCCAGTTCTCTCTATTCTAAAATGCCCTCTTTGTAGAAATATGTGTTGTTAGGCCACATGGATTCTGTTGGCATTTTTGTCAGATTTTCAGACACCCCTAGGCTCAAAGCCATATCCCACTACATATGAAAACAGGGCCTCTGGGCAAGTTCCTTCTCTGAATCACAGTATCTTTATCTTTAAATTGGAGGCCCTGATTCCTCACAGGGCTAATGTAAAGTTCAAGTGAGCCTGACACATAGTATGTGCTGAATCAATGAGACCTCCCTTCACCTTTGCCTAATTGGGGGGGCAGACTGAAATTTTCGAAAGGACTTTAAAAATTCTGTTTCCCTATCTTATCTCTTCTTTTCCTCATTACCAAATTTCCCAAGAGTTGTTTACAGGCTTCTGGTGGCTCAGTGGTAAAGAATTTGCCTGCCAATGCAGGCAACAGGGGTTTGTTCCCTGGTCTGGGAGGATCACACGTGCCATGGAGCAACTAAGCCTGTGTGCTGCAACTATTGAGCCTGTGCTCTGGAGCTGGAGAGCCACAACTACTGAACCCCGAGTGCCCTAGAACATGTGCTCCGCAACAAGAGAAACCACTGCAATGAGAAGCCTGCTCATCACAACTGGAGAATAGCCCCCTGCTCCCTGCAACTAAAGACCATGCAGCAACAAAGACACAGCGCAGTCCCCACTTCTCAGGGGACTAGCAAGCTCAGGGCTTAGAGCAGCACTCTTGGTTACTGATCGAGGTGAGCAGTGGCCCGGTAGGAAATGTGTAAGCAGTAGGAAAGCTGAGACATTTCCCTGTGGCATTCAAAGTATTTTTGGCAGTGGGTTTACTTTTGCAACTGTGCTTTGCCCAGATCCAAACAACTATTTCTTGAGCAACCAAGAGAAAGGAGGAAAGAAGTCTGCCCGGGTTTTTAATCCATCAGCTGATAAGACTTTCCTGTCTTACAACAAAATCTCCAGCTTCTCCCTCCCTCTCCTTTGCCCCACACTCAGCGCTGCCCTCACTGTAGGAATCCTGGTGAAAAGGGCAGCCTGTTCAGGCCATGATAACAGGGGCTCACAGCTTGAGAAAAGAAACTCTATAAAAACAAACGGCTCACATCAGTCCCCTCTATTTGTAAAGCCACCTTTCTTAAACTCCCATCCATCTCCTAAAATGTACTCCTGCCCTCGATTTTTGCTGGCCTCTTCTCCAATAACCTGTTCCTTCCAGCTCTTTGGAACCCTCTCATAACAACCTCCTGATAAACTCTTCCTTCCCCTTCCTGCTTCACGGGGAATTTAGTTCTTCCTGCAGCCCATGACCTTTCCCCTCCTCCAAGTCACCTCCCCAGCCTTGCTCAGCATGAGGTCTGGGGAGATGGTGGTGGATTCTCCTAGCTCCTTGTCAATCCCAGGAGCAGAACTCTTCCACTTCATGCCAAACACCCTTTCCTCCCAACTTCAAGAGTGCTGCATATTGCCATGAGAAACTGACTTCCAGGCCTGCCAGTGTTCAGGCAAATGACCCAATCCACACTCCAATTAAAATTTATTTTGGTTTAAGTTTTCATAGAGTCCTTTGCAGGGCTCAGAATTCAAAAAAGTGTACAAGGGTACATTGTCAAAGGTCTCTCTTCCACCTCCACCCAGACCCCTTCCCTTCCACATCCTGTATTACTGGTTTTTTTAAAAGCTTCTTGACTTCTTTCCAACAACTTTTATCTTGACTCTTATCTCATCCATGTTCTTCCCAGAATCATTCTCTGGTGATTATCAGCACTTGGAACTACATCCTCTCTGCAATTTAAAATGCCAACATACCATTCTCTTAGTAGCCCTCATATTGTTCCCTCCTGGAGGGCAGCAAGTATATCTGCCCTGCTTCCCCAGGGGGACCTCCAGCCACCTGGTCTTCTCTTTTCTGTCAGGCCCTTCTCTCTCCCTTTCTTCTCTGTCCAGCCAAAGTACCACTCACAGTCCATCCCTCAGCTCTTCTCTGCAGGCTCTCTTTAGCTTGGCACTGGGTGCCACTTTAGGTACTGGAAGAGCCTCTCCCACCTCTCCGCAACCCCCGGCTCCTTTCCAATCCTGTCCACTCTCCTGAGTCCCCCACCCTAACCCCGGATCTCCTTCTCAGCAAGCGGCCCTGTCTCTTAGCTGAGGCTATATAACTTCTTCAACCTGGACCCTCTTTAGCTTCTCCTCTTTCCAGCATAGCCAGCATTCTGAGTTCCTCACTCAACCTCTTCACTCTCTCTTCACACTCATCCTCTCTCCTAAAAATACTTATTGTGAATGTATTATACACATAGAAGTATGTATGGGGCTCCCCTCGTGGCTCAGCTGGTAAAGAATCTGCCTGCCCGTGCAGGAGACACAAGAGACATGAGCTCCATCTCTGGGTCAGAAAAGATCCTGTGGAGAAGGAAATGGCAACGTTCTCCAGTATTCTGCCTGGGAAATCCCATGAACAGAGGAGCCTGATGGGCTACAGTCCATGGGGTTGCAAGGAGTCGGACATGACTGAGTGTGCACACATACACATACAAAGGGACTAGCAAACTTCTGGAATTCCCTACTAACCAGCTCAGGGATGGAAGTATGTATATGTTGGATATGTATAATTAAAGATGAATGCAACAGAACCCCTGGGTACCTGATCAAAGCTTAAGAAATCAGTTCCTGTAGAACTGAATCACGGTGCTGTACATCTGAAACTAACACAACATTGTAAATTAACTATGTGTGCGTGTGTGTCAGTTGCTCAGTTGTGTCCGACTCTTTTTGACCCTATGGACTATACAGCCCACCAGTCTCCTCTGTTCATGGGATTTCCCAGGCAAGGATACTGGAGTGGGTAGCCATTTCCTTCTTCAGGTGATCTTCCTGACCCAGGGGTGGAACCTAGGTTTCTTGCATTGCAGGCAGGTTCTTTACCATCTGAGCCACCAGGAAAGCCTGTAAATTAACTATACTACAATACAAAATTAAAAAAAAAATCCTAACACACACACACACACACACACACACACACACACACACAGGAAATAAATTCCTGGGATTTCAGATGTCCACATGCTTCACAATGACTGCATCCCTCTCCCTCCTGGGAGAATGGACCCCACCCTGAATTCCTTAGGTTCACTTCCTTTGTTTATCTTCATAATTCCACTCTATGCATTTTGTAGGCATTCCTACACATGCACACTCTTTGGTTTTGCCTGTTTGATCTCCAAAGGGATAGAATCATAGGAATCATATTCTGTTTTTATGAAGCTGGTTTTTTTTTACTGAGCATTATGATTTCATTGACCGTGTAGCTGTAATTCATTAGCTTACTTTCTGTTGCATGATGACACCACTGTTTATAAATCCCTTGTGCTGTCAGTGGACATTTGCTTTGTTTAAACTGGTGCTTATCACCACAACACTGCTGGGAGTTCTCTTACTCTTCTCTGGATAAGTTTCTCCAGGGCTACAGTCTTCAAAAGAGGGTCTATGTATCTCTGTGATGTGAGAGGACTGTCCAGGGCTTAGGTGGACCTGGAGAGATGTATGGGGACTGTCCTCAGATCTGACACTCCCATATGAGTTGGGACACTGGTGGGCCTGTGAGGGCCCCTTTCCTCACTCCTTGCCTAACTCTTCCTTACCACAGAAAGAAGGCCCAAGAGGGAATCCAGGAGGGGAAAAACTGCCAGGCACCAAAGGAACAGTTTCAAAACCTCACTGAGGTGAGTGACCTAGTGACATCACTTTGCAAGTGAGGTACTTTTTCTTTCAACAAAATTGAAGGAAGCTTTAGCGAGTGCCAGCTGATTGCTTATTATTTTTTTTTCCTATCCTT